AGCCTAGATATAGTAGGAATGTCATTGGTCAATATCTGGATAGGGTAGGTAATGTGCCTACCCTCTCTGAGGAGTGGATGAGGGGGATGGTGGGCATGTGGAGGGAATGGGAGAAGGGGAGGGAATTGGGGTTGCTATGTTTTATGAAAAACGATGTTTTTTTAAGAAAAGAAATAAAAAAGAAATTTGGCTTAATTTTAAATATAAGAGATAGTAACAAGCCTGAGCTATCTACCAAGCATTTATAATATGTCTCTGTTTGGTTATTGGGAATGGGCTGGAGGGACAGAAAAGTCCACCTACAACCAATCTCTGAGCTCCAAAATCCACCAATCTCTGATCTTGAAAATCCACTAATCTTTAAGGTCAAATCCCATTCGTTGCTGGGCTTCTCCCAAGCTCAGGACTTGAGAGCTCATTAAAACACACCCTGAAAATCTCCACCCTGAAAACTCTTCCTCTAAGAAACTCTACATAAGTCTGTCTCCTCTTCAATTGCCTGCTTCTTCTTGCTTGAGTAGAGGTAGCCACCCATTTTTGCCCCTGCCAATAAGTCTCCTATGTGAAGTTTGTTGTGTGGTATTACTTTGGGGTATTACTTGGCTCTCAACTGCAAGGATATTTTTCCCTTCAAAGCTGCAACACTTCCACTGAGGAAACATTTTCCCTCGGATCTATAACACTAAAAGACTCAACAAAATAAACTTTACAGAATATATTTGCTTATTTTCTTCTCCAGACAGTCACAGTGATTTCATCCAAGAAAGTAAAAACCCATGTGTAGACTTCCCTTGGGTATATTTGGCCACAAGAAATTACCAAGCAACAGTTCTTGTCAAAGGCACAAAGGCAAACATGTTTTATAAGAGAATGCATTACTAGGGAATATAAAAAAGACAGAAAGATACAGAATGAGTGAAAATGTTCCAACATTTCTTATGTTTAATCCTTCTCCACGTCTTCTGACACCCATTTGATTTCCCTTCATGTTGACCTCTGAAGAAAATATCTGAGGGTGAATGTAGTATTAATAATAAAAACAGATATTGGGATTCAAAGGCAGATATTGGGGTTCAAGCCGAAGATCAGAAAAGCAAAGCAGTCAACCACTGGAGAGACCTTTTACCTCTACCAAATCTTCAGACCAAAGGAGCAAGATCCTATCTCCATGAATCCTCAGACTCCACACTCCCACTGAGCTCCTGTCTCTTCCCCTTTGAATTCTTCTCTTTGCCCAATCATATTACTCGTGTCTCCACCTCCCTAGTGCTGGGATTAAAAGTGTGTGGCTTCAAAACACTGAGATTAAAGATGGGAACCACCATCTCTTGGATCTGTTTCTGGATTGACCTAGCACAGCCCAGGATAGCCTTGAACTTATTTGAACGTATTCCATCTGCCTCTGTCTCCCGAGTGCTGGACTTAAACCTGTGTGCCACCACTCCCTGGTCTGTATGAGCGACGACTCTGGCTGCTTTGCCCGCTGATCTTTCGGCAAGCTGTATTTATTAAAACACGTATAACATACCACTATAGGTGAATGGCCAATGATGTCTCTTCTATACAAACTGTTTTTACATACAGCTACTGCAGGAGGTATGTCTGCACTAAAAATGTGTTCTAGAATCTCTTGCTGGGCTTCTGCACACTGACTGACATGCTCACATTCATAATCTCTCCTATTTGCCAAGTTCTGCAAAAGAATTGGGAAGAGCATTGCAGCACTGCAATGATTAGCCAAGAGAACTGTTGGAGGCCAGTGTAGTGACTCTTGAATGTTACAGTATTCCAGAGACAGTGCCAGGAGGCTGTCATGTCTGAGGCCAACATGACTACATAGAAAGACAGGGACCCAAGGAAAAGTACAGAGTGTCGACCTTTGTTCTTTAAGAATTTGTGATCAGAAAAAGGGTTGGCTATTCATCAGGAGCTCTCAAGGACAACATACAATTACATGAGGTTCAGCAACACTGTTGTTTTTAGACTTTTGGAAAACATTGTCTATGCTACAGTGAATAAAATTGAATATCAAACAATGCAGAATTTGAAATAGTTGAATATCCTTAATGTAATTTATTGAAGATTGGTTTCAACTTAAGTAGAAAAGTAATATTTGCTTGAGATATACCTTATCTTAAAAGCCAAAAGATGATGTTATAAAATGATAGAAATATATTGCATGAAAATATTGTCAATAAAATGTTTTGAATAATTTTGAACACAATGGAAAGTTTTTTTGCAGAATGAATCACTGTAAAAAGTTTTACATAACTGAATATTTCACCAATTTTAGCAATATTAGTGTATTACAGAGTTGAGATCCTCCAATTTGGAATACCCAAGCTTCCCCTCTTCGTTTCTCAAATCCCTAAAGACTGTTATTATAATCGTGCACAAGCATGCCCAGTACTAATTATTCATTCTGATGGGATGTGTCAACCAGTTTATTTTGAAATGTTAGTTGTCTTTTTCATTGTCGTATACAAACCCTCCAGAACAACACATTCCATTGAGAGGTTTTCATACATCATATTACAGACCTTGATACTCAAAAGATTTTAATTCCTTCTGTAAAGAGTATGTCAGTAACTATGTAGGTGCCAAACACATTTCAATGTTTGTTCTCTTAATGATGCACAAGTCTTTAGCATTGTGATTATAATTTCTTCTTTTTTTTGATTTTCTGGAGTAATTCAGAAAACTTGCTTTCAGGATTTAATATTCTGTCTTTTCCTTGGTGTAGTCTAAGTGGCACATTTTCAGAATACTGGTGTGTGTGTGTGTGTGTGTGTGTGTGTGTTTGTGTGTCTGTCTGTATGTGTGCACACACTCGCGCATACCACCTTGGGTGTGTGAATAGTGGGAGAATTTGCAGGAAACAGTTCTCTCTTTTGCTTCTGATGGGTTGTGTACTCTAGGCTAGATAAGGGGCCACATACTAATAATCCAGTCCCTTAAGATTTGAGACAAGAGGATTTCCACAAGTTTCGAGACACTCTGGTCCACATACTAAGTTCCAGTCCAGGTATGGTGAACACACGGTAGGACCTTGTCTCACAAATAAGAAAATTAAAATTCACTCAAAATCTAATTAACCAAATTATTAGCCCATTTTTTAAAAAAACATATTGATGGCTTTCCTTGTGGCATATCGTGAAGTGATCATATGTGACCTCTCAAGGACTGTTCTTCCCTCTCAGCCCAGCCTCCTACATCCTCGCGTCTTTCTCTAATAGACCCCCCACTACTTCTGTTTTGACTTTTTCTTCCCACATTTTGCTTTCCACTTCTGAGTGAAAGTCTGTGGTAGCTTTTATGGGTTTAAACATTAATATGAATGGGGATTACAATGCTCCTTTTATGAATACAAAGGTGTTGAGAGACAGATTTCATAATGGAGGAAATGAAAGATGTCCTAGGAAGCTCCCAGAGTAAACCTGTGAGGACAATGTCTCTGACTCATCAATAGTGAATGGCCAGTCTGGTAATCTCTGTCAGTAGTCAATGTGATCCTGATGCTTGGGAATATTTGTACTTGTGAATGTAGGCTTTGATTCGACTCTTTGAGAGAGAAACCTCTCGTTTAAAAGAATTTTAAGGGTTCCCTTTCATACCTCCCGAATCCTTTGAATGCTATTGCTGCAATCTAACCACACAGACACAGACTCGCACACCTCACACCAAGGAACTGTATCCTTCTTGATGTGTTTTAATTTTCTTGCCTGTAGATAGGTCGATTGAAGAATAAGGTGTGAGAAAGCCTTGGGAGCCTGCCTGTCAACACAAAAGCAATATCCACTTCAAAAGGATATGTTTACTCTGAGGCTCAGTAAAAGTGACCATGGCCTAGAGACACAGAATTTAGATTATCCCACTTTCTATGTTCCAACATGAAAATGAAGTTTTATAGTAACAGAACAAAGAAATCATCATTAGGTAGACAGGTTATAGAGCAAAGGGGAAACCTCTGGGTTGGCCTCGGATACCATCTGACCATATTCTTGTCCCTTTTTTTGTCAGAAAATTAGTGTTCTGTATATTCCGAAGGAAACTGCTGTTCTATTGCCTATTCCAAATGATTTCCATAATACTCGTCAAGTTGTTGGGTCAGGTACAGAAGATGGCCACCAATGGCTATTCGGAGGGCTGAGAAAGGCCCTAGGTAATAGACTTGTAACACTCCAAACTCTAATCAATCTTTCAGAAGGCTCATCTTTAGTCCACAGGCGTCATCCTTGAGCGTGCATTCCAGGCTGTTCTTCCTGACCTAGGGACCTCTCCTTCCCTGTCATCGTACTGAACCTGGTTGCTCCACCATGAAACTAGTAGCACTATTTGTAATCGGAAGCACCTATTGTGGCCCACTAAGTACACCAGGGAAAATGCTCTAAAACCCCCTTAATACATGCTTCCTTAAAGGTTTATTCTAGGCGGGAAACCCTGGGTAGAAAGGTTACTGCTGAAACCTGTCCTTGTAGCTGTAACCCTGCAGGGAAGGGGTATTTTCCAGGTTATAAGATGCTCCCTCCCCCCACAACACCCACTCTTCCCCCCACCCCCGCCACACACACTACAACCCTCTCATAGCTCCCAACCTCCCCAAAGCCCCCATCACATCCCTGTATCATCCGCCTGTATCATCCGCCAATCAGGAACGCTGTTATGACTTTGCATTAATTGTCCAATGAGAAGAACGGATATTCGGAAGGTGTAGCCGTTAGCCGAGTTTGAGTAGCGAGAAGCCATGAGACCTTTTTGATTATGCTTCCAGCTGATGGTAGGCCCCTTTGGGGCGACCCCTGGGTGCAGCAGAAGCAGGAAATGGTGAGTGCGCCCTGGGCCCCTGGCGGGGTTGCGGGGTTGCGACTCTGCCGCGGCTGTGGTGTGATGTGGCGCCTGCCGCCCTGACGTTTTCCTAGCGCTGTGCAGCTGATTGTGAGCTGAAGGCCCCAGCGCCGGCTCCCCACCTGCTATTGAAGTGTGTGCAGAGCAAGCAGCAGGGAATTTGAGGTGCTGTCCCGTCGCTGTGAAGCTGCTTCATCCAGTCCCGGCCCTGTCGGGTTGCGTCCACCGCAGACATTGCAGCTCTGGGGGGTTAGCGCTGCTCCTCACACTCCAGGCTGTCTGAGCTTGGACGGTGAGCACTTTTTTCCCCGTCCTTGCACTCTCATTTGACCTGCTTTAAATTACTCTCGTGATCCCTTTGAGTCCTTTTAAAAATTTTTTCCGTATTGAAATTTTTATGCATATATACAATGAAATATGATCATATCCACCCCGTTCCTCCTTCCAGCAACTCCTATATACTCCCAACACGACTTTCTTCCAAATTTTATTGTCGTTGTTGTTACTGTTATTTAGTAATCCCGCAGTCCGTGCTGCCAGTGCCTGCATGGGTGTTTGGAAAGGGAATCCGTCCTATCAGTGGTCTGTTTCCTCTAAACATAATTCTCCAGAAAACTGTTAATTGTTATTAACTGCTCAGTGAATGGGGAACCGGTACAGTATCTCCCCATCTATGCCCAATCTTGGGCAGGTAACCACAGGTGCTGTGAGCTCGTGGGTACAGGAGCTCTGGCATTTCCAGAAGACAGCATTTCCCTGACTTCTGGCTTTTACATTTCTTCTGCCTCCTCTTCTGAGGAAGGAATTTCATGATGTTTTATAATACCAGGATAAAAGTCATAAATCAAAGCTTTTTAAAAATACATACACAGATACATTTGAAAGGTGGTTATAGTAAAATAGGGAATCTCTCATATAGGCCTCAAATGCCGCCTGTTGATATTCTTAGTTTGGGGATTGGTAGAAACTAAGTTAATAAATTCCAAAAGAATTTTATCTGTTAGTCACAGAATGTTGGTTCTGACATAAAGATGAAGAAGGAGTGGCTATTTAGTGGTGCTAAAGCTATCTCAAGACATGGTACAGGTCCTAGTCTCCATACCACTTTAGTTCTGATCAATCAGTCCTTCCCGACAGAGCTTCTGCTCAGGGGTTCTCAGCCACACCCTAAGTGGTGCTTTACCAAACTTCTGTGTTTTAAATGTCTTTGTGTTTGTCTATCTATTTATCTAGATTTGATATTCAGCTTCATTATGTACTTACTATTTATCTTCTTTTGTCCAGTGGATTTCCAGGATTATTAATTTTTAATCTCCATCTAGATATGCTTTCTTTGGCTTAGTTCTATCTTTTAATGATCCTTTCCCCTGTTTTTGATTCACTTTTTAAAAATTTCTAGTATTCTACTCGTCCCCCTCCATGTTTTCCTCTCACAATCTGAGTATCCTTTGACTTTCTTTTGGATGTCATTGACACGTTTATTCATGTTGGTGGGGTTTTTTGTCCATTTTAGTCTGCTGTTTCTCTCAAGGTATTCTGGGTAATTTGGGTCTCACCTTGATGGTATACTCTTTGAAGTCATTGATCACTTCTGCTAGTAACTTTGAAATCTTTTTGTTTGTTTGTTTGCATTGTGCCTATTTCAGTCTCTTAGAATTCAGTAGCTGAGTCATTTTGATCATTTGTAGCAGCAACTGAACAGACTGCAAACAGGGCAGGAAGAATGGCACATACAGGCTGGTGATACTCTGCACTAGGGTAGAGGCTGAAACTGAATAGGCTAGAAGGCTTTCACTCACCACAGGAGAAAAAAATAACTTAAAGATGTCACTAGTAGAAGAGGTTCATAGAGGAAGCAAATGTTTAGGTCCTTGAGTTGAGGAATTCTGGCTTCTGAGCACATAGTAGAACTTGAAAAAATGCACCGTGATTCCTTGATACCAACCACGAGGGATGGAAGGAGGCCAAAGACAAGTGGTTAAAGACCTTCTTCATGCCTGTTTATAATTTCTATTTGGAGTAAAAAGACCCTACCCCATAGAACTGACTGAAAACACAGTGTTGTATTCTCTTGGTCTCTGTATCTGCAGGTCTTTTATATTTCCACAAATATTTTAGTATGACTGTCTCTAGTTCTGTGAAGCATATCATTGAAACATTTGTTAGTATTACATTGACTGTACAGACTGCTTTCAGCAGAATTATTTACTTCTACAATATTATTTCTCTGACATAATAGGCATAATAATTCAATTACTTTATTATTAGATAATTTTCCTTGTAGATGTCTTTTCCCCCCTTGGTTAGACTTATCTCCAAGAAGTTTCTGAATGTGGTACTTTAAATATACAACCTTAACTCCCTAATCTGAATTCTTTCTCATTGAAAGCAGTTAGGAACCTTCTCTCTCTCTCTCTCTCTCTCTCTCTCTCTCTCTCTCTCTCTCTCTTTAAGATTTACTTTTATTTTATGTGTATGACTGTTTTGCACGCATGTATGTTTGTGCACCACACTAATACACTGCATGAAGAAGTCAGAAGAGGGCATCAAATTTTCTGGAGTTGGAATTATAGATGATTGTGAGCCCCCATATAGCTGCTGGGAATCAAACCTTGGTTCTCTGGGGGAGGGGCAACAGTGCTCTTAAATTCTGAGCCATCTCACTCACCCAAATACAAACTTTTCTGAGAGAGAAACATGTTCTTTGTCTACTATCTCCTTTGGTAAAAATTATATTTCCATTCTGTCACTTTTTATCATTCTGTATCTTTATGGGCTTCTGTACAGCTTTTGTTCATGCTGTCTCAATTAGTATTTTAATATATGTATCGATTTTTCAGACATGATATTTTTTCTTATTTTTCAAAAAAGAAAATAATCTTTTTTTTTTTTTATTAGAAATGCCAATCCAAGTTCCCACTCCCTCCCCTCCTCCCATTTCCTCCACATACCCACCCACCCCTTCTACTCCTCAGAGGGGGTAAAGCACATTGCTTTGGGAAAGGTCCAGACCTTCCCTACTATATCTAGACTGAACAAGGTATTCATCCAAAGATCATGGTTCCCAAAAAGCCAGTCCAAACAGTAGTGATAAATACTGGAGCCACTGCCCGTGGCCCTGCAGTCTGCCCCAGCCATGCAACTGTCAACCACATTCAGAGGGTCTAGTTGGGTCTTATGCTGGTTCCATCCCTGGCTGGCTGGCATTGATGAGCTCCCATTAGCTCAGGTAAACTGTTTCAGTGGGTGTCCGCATCATGGTCTTGACCTCTTTGCTCATATTCTCACTCTACACACTCTTCAAATGGACTTTGGGATCTCAGCCCAGTGCTTTGCTGCCAGTCTCTGCCTCGATTTCCATCAGTTGCTGGATGAAGGTTCTGTGGTGATATTTAAGCTATTCATCATTCAGGGCAAGGCCAATTCAGGCCCCCTCTCTTCTATTGCTTAGGATCTTAGCTGGGATCATCCTTGTAGATTGCTGGGAATTTCTCTATAGCCATGTTTATTGGTAATCCCATAATGGCTCCCTCAATTAAGATATCTCTTTCCTTGCTCCCATCTCTGTCCTTCTTCTGTCTCAACTATCCCGGTCCCTCAAGTTCTTCTCCCCACTTCTCTCATTCTTTTCCCCTCCCACTCTTTCTTTTCCCCCCATCCCCATGTTCCCAATTTTGTCAGGTTAACTTGTTGTTTCCCCATTCCAGGTGGATCTATGTATGTTTTTCTTAGGATTCACCTTGTTACTTAGCTTCTCTCGGATCATGAATATAGGCTCAATTTTCTTTGCTTTACAGCTAGTATCAACTTATGAGTAAGTGCACACAATAATCGGCTTTTTGGGTCTGGGTTGCCTCACTCAAGATGGCGATTTCTAGTTCCATACATTTGCATACAAATTTCAAGGTGTCATTGTTTTTGATGACTGAGTAGTACTCTAATGTATAAATGTGCCACATTTTCTTTATCCATTCTTTAGTGGCGAGGCATCTGAGTTGTTTCCAGTTTTGGGCTATTACAAATAATGCTGCTATGAACATAGTTAAACAAATGTCTTTATAGTATGATTGAGCATCTTTTGGGTATATGCCCAAGAGTAGCATTGCTGGATCCTGAGGTAGGTTGATTCCCAATTTTCTGAGAAACCACCATACTGATTTCCAATGTGGTTGTACAAGTTTGTATTCCCACCAGCAGTGTATTGAGTATTCCCCATACTCCACATCCTCTCCAGCATAAGATATCATTGGTGATTTCGATCTTAGCCTTTCTGACTGGTATAAGATCATATCTTAGAGTTGTTTTGATTTGCATTTCCCTGATGGCTAAGTATGTTGAACATTTCCTTAAGTGCCTTTTGGCCATTTGAGATTCTTCTGTTGAGAATTCTTTGTTTAGTTCTGTACCCCATTTTTTTATTTCTTTATTATGTATACAATATTCTGTCTGTGTGTATGCCTGCAGGCCAGAAGGGGGCACCAGACCCTATTACAGATGGTTGTGAGCCACCATGTGGTTACTGGGAATTGAACTCAGGACCTTTGGAAGAGCAGGCAATGCTCTTAACCTCTGAGCCATCTCTCCAGCCCCTGTACCCCATTTTTTAATTGGGTTATTTAGAACTTTAATGTCTAATTTCTTGAGTTCTTTATAAATTTTAGAGAACAGTCTTCTGTCTGATGTGGGGCTGGTGAAGATCTTCTCCCATTCAGTAGGTTGCCTTTTGTCTTATTGACTGTGTCATTTGCTTTACAGAAGCTTTTCAGTTTCAGGAGGTCCCATTTCTTTATTGTTGCTCTCAGTGTCTGTACTACTGGTGTTATATTTAGGAGGTGGTCTTCTGTGACCATGAATTGAAGGCTTCTTCCCACTTACTCTTCTATCAAGTTCAGGATGGTCAGATTTATATTGAGGTCTCTAGTTCCTTTGGACTTGAGTTTTATGTTTGGTGATAGATATTGATCTATTTTCATTCTTCTACATGTTGATATTCAGTTATGCCAGCACCGTTTGTTGAAGATGCTTTCTTTTTTTCATTGTATAATTTTAGCTTCTTTGTCAAAAATCATGTGTTCATAGGTGTGTGGATTAATATCCAGGTCTTCAATTCCATCCCATTGGTCAACCTCTCCAATTTTATGCCAATACCAAGCTGTTTTCATTACTGTAGCTCTGTAATACAGCTTGATGTCAGGGATTGTGATGTCTCCAGAAGTTCCTTTATTGTGTAGGATTGTTTTGGCTATCCTGGGTTTTTGTTTTTCCACATGAAGTTGAGTATTGTTCTTTCAA